ATGAAGAAAGCATGTATAAAAAGAGGCTATTGAGTATAGCCATTATATCACCCATGAGGAAGTCGCAGAAGAACAAATTACAAAAACTTTCTGTCTCTAGGAATGAGTCTGGGGCTCTTCAGATTGAATGATTATGGTCTGAATGATATGTTGAATGTGTAATTTGTTTTGAAGTGGCATTTCAAATGTCAAGGGCTACACACAAATGTATCCAAGAGCACAATGCTTGCCTTATCCCAGGATGAGATGCCCTATTAACTCTGCTTAAGAACTTGAATTATTTCCCAATTTCCCAATATCTCCATTCATTTGGCTGCACTGGATCACAAAAAGCCTTTCTGATTTTAATTAAAATCTTTCAATTACAAAGGATTTATTTTCTTGGAAGATTACTAGAACATTTTGTCATGCAAAAGTTTTCTGGGAAGTGAGAGTGAAAACCACTTTCACAAGATTTCTTTTCTTGTTTTATTTATACATAAGAAAACACTGGAGAGAGAACTTGAAACAAGCTGAGGACCCTTTACTTGACCAATCTGAGTAAAGTCTAGTCAGATTCAAATGGTAATGTTGGTATTACCAGGAGAGTGCTTAGATGCTTCATATTCTCACATTATAGGAAAGCAATAGATCATATTGGCTAAAAGCACAGTTTTACAGTCAGATAAATATAGACTTCAGTCCATTTTAGCTACTTCATGGATGTATGATATTTGCCAATTCTGTTAACCTTTCTAAACTTCAGATTCTTCATCTGTAATATATAAATAACTATAGTATCTCATAGGTTGGTGTAAGATTCAAGTGAAATAAATTCATGTTAAGAACTTGGCACTTAGAATATACTAAGCAACTGACGAATGTCAATGGCTAGTTATAGGGAACACAAGAAGGCCCAGCAATCCATATGGAGAATACTTCAGCAAGATAAAATTCTTAAGTCTTTGAACTATATCCCCCTTTTAGGGAAAATAATAATAATAATAACAACAATAATAATAATAAAATGATTATTGAGCATCAACTATATACCAGACACACATGTGCCTTCATGAATTTTCAAATTTAATCCTCATTGAGTTCCAGTTGCAAAGTTTGATCTACATTTATTGGTATTAGATTTCTCAACACTGAAGAAGAGAATCCATTGTTAACCACTTTACTTCATGGTTTCAGTGCTGAAAAAATATTATTCCATCAGTTACACAGTTTGTAAGTGAAATTTTTCTATGAATTGTCAGTTATAGGCAAAACCTCAGGAACAGAATCAGATATATACAACTGTAGGATTACAAATATTTTCAAATTATTTTCCCATCTACACTGACATTCATCTGTCTAATAAAATGTTATTGACAATCTGCAATATGCTAGGCATTGTGCTAACCACTGAAGATATAAAACACTTTCATAAATACAAATATAGTGTCTATCTTCATGAAGCTAACAGTCTAATGAGGAAATAGACTATAAAATTATCATAAGCACAAAATTATAACTCTAAGACCACTAGATATTATGTGTTCCCCTGTGTTATGAAATAGGAAGCATGGAACATCACACACAATATGTCCTTTCCAAAATCTGAGGTAAGTCTAATAATCCTCTGTCTAGGTCTATCTTTTTTTAGAGACTCTAGGAGAGAGAAAAACAGATTAAATTACACTGAATGGAAACAATCTGTCAAATAAAGAATATGAAAAATAACTATAGTATAAGTGACCTATCTTCAACAAGTAAATCGCATAGGAAAAAAATAAAATCACAAGGTAATCCATAGACCTACCAACTAAATACAATATGTAAATCTTATTTGTATTTTTTTTCTTTTTTAAAAGATTTTTATTAAAATATAGCTAACATACAATATTATAATATGTTAGTTTCAGGGGTACACCATAGTTGTTCAACATTGTATACCTAAAGATGTGATCACCATGATAAGTCCAGCAACCATCTGTCGCTGTCCATGTAATCACAATATTATTGACTATATTCCCTATGCTGTACATTACATTTCTGTGACTTATTTTTTTATATGTGCAAATTTAAACCTCTTATTCCCCTTCACCTTTTTCTCCCTTTTAAATTTTTCAATTACAATTGACATTCCATATTATATCAATTTCAGGTGTACAGCATAGTTGTTAGACATTTATATAATTTAATATTGACTAGTCTAATACCCACCAGGCAATATATATTGTTATTACCATATTGCTGAACATATTCCTTATACTATACCCGACATCCCCAGCCAAGATATCCCTCCCAATTTTTAGCAGTCACAGACAGGTGTGGGATCAGCCAGTTCCACATCTTTGCCCCTCCTACCAGTCTTGATGTGCCTTCTTCTGTATGTCCTTAGTTGTACGGCTTTGGTTCAGCTAGACTTCAGGCGAATCTCAGGGATGGTTGTTCTGTAGTTTAGTTTTAATTTTGATGTGGTCTTGAGAGGAGGCAAGCACAACATTTACCCAATCCAGCATCTTGAGCGGAAATTCTCAGTTTTCAATCTTAATATTTTGATTGGTACAAGTCAACTGCAATAGAATGTTTCTGAGTAATGAAAGAAAATTGAGCATGGTCTGGGCATCAGATAATATTAAGGAATTACTAATGTCGCTGATAATGATAATGGTCTTGTGATTATGTTTTTAAAAAAAGTTTATTCTGATAATTATGTAACACCTGAAATTTGATTTTAAATCTATCAAAAAAATTGGATGAGTAATACATGAAAATGAAGAGTATAATGTTATTATATTAATTGTTGAATCTGAATGTTGGTTTCTTCATGGTTCACTATATTACTCTCTACTAAAAAACAAACAAACAAAAAAACAAACACTTTTGTTGCAAGTACTATAAAAGAGAGAAAAATGATGCTTTAAGCGTCTATAATAAAGGGTATCTCTGAGTCTGAAAAGGTTTTTATCTGTGAAGTGACACTTGAGCTGAGATCTGAGGAAGGAGTTCATGCTATCTAGGTGAAGGGACCAGGTTGAGCCAGAGGATTGAAAAGACCAGTGTGGCTGCAGTTGAGAGAGCAAGTCTGAGTCCAACATGAGCACTTCAGGTATTCATTGCTAAATGCTAGAAATTGACTGTGTTCTTCCTTATTCATACCTCCCTCCAGAGAAAATTTAAACCAGTTGTGAAAAGAATTGTAGTCCCTTTTTCCAGTCTCGTTTTAACATTGAATTGTTTGAAATTCAGTTATATGCCCTTATTAGCTCTCAAACTTCCAAAAAAGAGATTTAGTGAGTTATGATCCTCTCAATCTGTATTGTAAATATCTTCAAGAGTTGGTCCACTTGTGGGCATTCATGCAATATTTTTGAGAAGCTCAATCAAGGTAAATATATTACTAGAATGATATGTGATTTATTCATTATATATTCTTAAATTTGTCTATCATTCAAGCCAAATTAAAAGAGAATTGGCCATTGACTATACCAACAGTAACGTTATTACTCTCCTCTCTCCATCCATCCCCCACCTGCCACACAGATGATTTACTCAGTTTCTTTTTTCAGTGTGATTCCATTAAACATTGTTCACTATCAGAAACAGCAGTATGAGAAGCAGTTTCCCTATATTAAGAATATAGTGGAGGGTATTATTCACTATATCAACAAAGTATCATCTTTGTGAAGATATTTGGGAAACCCCTCTCAGATCTTAATAACAGAAAAAATATACTTCTGTTGTTTTTTTATCTTTGGAATTGTATAATTCAAATCTTATGTAACTTATAAGTCAGCTAAAAAATAGTGTCTGAAATAACCATGGTTTAAGTAAATAAATTTACCTCACATCCTGAGTTTTAGCTTACTTTTTAATTTAAAAAATGAGAAGGGGTATCAGATCTGTAGATCTGCAGAATCTGCTAATGGAGCTAAGGATGTAATACAATTTGTTTTCACCTCCTCTAGCTCCAGTATTTATGAAATTAGAGGGGACTCGACTGGTACCAGGATGAATACGAATGCTTTCGTGTCTATTATGCCTCTTCAGAGAGGCCACAGCAGAGCTTGCTAACCAGAGTGTGTAGCATATGGGTTACCAGTGAGCTTCAACTATTAATTCCCTCAGTGTTAAAGTGGCAGCTCCTCCCATGCCAGTTGCCTCTATCACTGGAGTAACCTCACCTATTTACCCCAAGTTATCAAATATATAAGTACTCTCATTCTTGTATGTGCCAAATGTAAAAACTGTTGGAAACACTATGGTGTAATATCATCTGCCCATTGTCAGTTTCTTAGAGTTTAAATATAAATGCAAATTTTATACGTGGTCACTAGAAATATCATGGGCTATACTTGTAATACTTATGAATGTGTAGAACTTGTAGCATCTACGTCAAAGCCTAGGAGTTTTGAGTGTCTTTCCAGTGCAAGGGTTCGTTTTAACCCTGTGTAGCCACATCAGCAAAACAGAGAGTGTCTTAAAACCATTACTCAAGACACATGAGAGACAGAAAGAGTGATTTATTTATGGAATTTTCATATGCTCTTATGTTCTAACCAAAGTAATCCTTTAAAGTCACTCTGTTACCTGATATTCTTCAAGACTTATTTCATTACCACAAAACAAAATCATTTGGATTTTATCAAGAGAATATATAAGGTTATAAAATTAACATATCCTTAAGGAAAAAATGTAAGGTGTTTGAGGAACACTGTTATTATTCAGTAGCATGTTTGCCAACTAGATATTTCCAATAATCCTAAACTATACATTGAAATCCTTGTCAAATATGGGTAATACCACTATAATTCTCTGGGTTACTGCTTTTATAATTGACCTTATAGCATAAAATGATTTTTGTTGAGTTGCAAATTATATACATTGGTTAAAAAAAATAAGGAAAGAAGAAAAAGAAAAGCTTCTGGAAGTAGAATTAGCATTTTTAAGGTTATAAACCTTCTAATAGTTATAGCCTTGGATCTACAAATGGAGGAAGCCACTATTAGACCCATCAAATTTCTTTTTAGACCAAGACCACAGAAATAGAAATGAAGAAAAGATCACCAACTTCTATAATCACTTCTTTGGATGTGTTGGATGATGCTACTATCAGACATGGAGAAGGTAAAGTAAAAAATATTTAGACACTATGGAAGGTACTATTTATAAAATTTACTTTTAAAGAAATCATGCAATTTCTTTAGAATTTTACATGATAACTAAAATTAAGGAATAACCTGAGAATATTCGGATGAACAAGTCAAAAAATTTCCATAAGCATAGTGCTTTAAACATTGGAAAACATTACCAAAGAGTGCCAAGGAATTTTCTTTAGTATTAAAAGTGACATAGAAGTAGTAAGTTGTAACTAAAAATAAAGGTTGGAATATATAACATTAAAATATTAAGGTCCTTTCTGTGTTAACTCTGCTTTTTTACCCAGAACCAGTAACTCATTATCAATGACAATATTGAAAGAAATTATTTTGTAAAGCAAATAAACCTAGTAATTATAAAACTCTCCATTATATTCCATATTTGTTTTTCTTGAGAGACACTCCTATGTTTTGTTTCTCTAATACACAGTTTGTCTCAGTTTCATTTATCTAACTCAGTAAGCAAGAACAAAATAGAGGAAATTTACTTTGCTCTGTTTTTTATTAGTATTAAGTATTTCTATTTGGTAATTCCAAATCAGAATCCTAGTTTCAAACTTATTTTTACATGCAAATGTCAAAACTTTCTATTAGTTAAATTTAAATAAACAATTTACTAATGTTTAATTTATCCATTCTTTCATTGCAGAACATAAAAAACCCCAGAAGAGATGCCTATTGTGTTGGTATAGCTTTGCTAAAACTCTCTTGATCTGGAATTGTTCTCCCTGTTGGTTAAAATTGAAAGAGTTTGTCTATGTGATTATAACACACCCATTTACTGATCTGTTTTTCTTCATATGCATAATTCTAAACATACATTTTTTGGCCTTGGAATGTTATCCAATGAGTGATAAAACCATCAATGTTCTCAGCATTGGAAACCTGGTAAGGCTCTTATTCTGTGTTATTTTCATTTGCAACTTTATGATTTTAAATCATTATTATCCCTTTATTTTACAACTACCATATGTTGCAAGTGCATTATATGAGTATCAGATGAAGTCTTGTTTTCATGGTTCTCCACTTCACCACTCACAGTCCTACTTCGTAAATGTTCTTATCACTGAATAGGCTTATACCTAGAGTTTAAAATTCTGCCATTTAAATTTGGGATTCCTAGCCAGCTGCTTGGCAATAAGGTTAAGTGGAAATTATTTATTCCCTCTCCCTTCCCAAGTGTACCCTTTCTTGGTACCATAGCCCAGTACATCAGAGTAGGGAAGGGGTAAAATAACAGACACAAGATCTACACTGATACCTGACTCTGAATCCTGACTACAACTACAATACACTTGACCTTTGCTCTCACCACCTGTCTTTGCCTTAGATTGGAACTTATCCTTTGGCAAGGCATCATTTGGTCTCACCTATCCTTTACTTCTCATACAATTCAAAAGGCAAAAGAGAGTTCTATGAATTTAAAAACAAGTTACATTCAAGCAAATATATAGTATTTATTTTATTTTATTTTATTTTGCTTTTATTATTGTTGCTGTTGTTTAGTTGCTTGGTATTCATACAGCCAAACTGCTCCCAGTTTTGAATCATACATTTACTTGATGCCAAAACAGTAATTTAGTTATTTCTATCAGTATAGCTTTAAAAAGGCAGTTTCCATAGATTTATTATTTTTATTCTATATCATATATATACTTCTTTTATTCTTTTACTAGTTGAAAAATGTATTACCTTAATATATACTCCATATACCAAAAGGAACCATCCAAAGTGAAAAAATTTTCACCCTCAAATGCCCTTTTATTTTCTTCCAGACTGGCTTTAGAAAAATAATTGAACATTCTGTTTAACATTAGATTGTTAAATAAAATGTATGAGTATGTTGTAATATAGACTCCAAAATTCCTTAGATATGGACAGAGGAACTGTGAGGAATATGGCAGTGAAAAGTTAGTTTCTGTGCATGAGGGTTCTGATTAGAGCTATTGGAATCATATTCTCATCCATGTGCTTTATTTTTATTTAGGTTTTTATTGGAATTTTCACAGCAGAAATGATTTTTAAAATAATTGCCATGCATCCCTATGGGTATTTCCAAGTAGGCTGGAACGTTTTTGATAGCCTAATTGTGGCCCTTGGTTTAGCAGAGCTTTATCTAGCAAATGTTGATGGAATAGCTCTTTTTGGATCATTCAAGGTGGTAAGTAGAATCCAAGACCTAAATTGTATTTTATGAAAGTTTATCTCAGTTTCCTCAGACATAAAATGGGAAGAATAGTAATACCCTTGGGTCATTGGGAGTTGAATAAA